GGAGGTCTGAAATGGCTTGTCTTGGAGGGTCCAGACCCCCTCCCTTTTCTTACGAAATCTGGAGTACGCGTCGGTCGCTACGCGCTCCGACGCGTCCGCGGGAGCGCCCCATCGGAGCACGCCGGCGTCGGCGTCGGCGCCGCCGATGCCGCTGGGGCGCGGGCCAAGACCTCCGGGGTGGCTCTGCTGTGCTGAGGGTGCCCTCCTCGCGGAGCCCAGACGGGGTCGGTCTCCTCCTCCTCCTCCACCTCCTCCTCCCACCTCCTCCTCCTCCTCCACCTCCTCCTCCTCCTCCTCCACCTCCTCCTCCTCCTCCTCCCTCCTCCTCCTCCTCCTCGGGGTCGGTCTGGGACACGCGACGTACTGATGGGGATAGGTTTAGGTCTCGTGCCTCCTCCCAGAGCCGCCGCTGGCAGTTGAGCGCCGCGCAGGTGTTGGGCCCGATCTGGTCCTCTCGAAGGGTGTGAGCCCAGCTTGTGCAGTGCGCTCAGTGCTTTCGGGTCGTCGTGGCACTGGGCCGAGAGGATTGTCCATGCCCCTCCAGCCATTGCTCTCAGTTTGATGGTCCTCCTTTATCGGCCATGTGCAGGCTTTCGGCCAACACGCCTGCTGCCAGGCTTCTGTCGCGTTTTCGGCCGGCTTGCGAAGCTCATGAGAAGCTTGTGCGTTATGTGTTTTTTAAATGACGGTTGCAATTCACACTTTCCCTTCGGCTCGGTCGCGTATGTCTCGAAGGCAGTATGTTAACCCGCGTTCGTTTCGCAATCAGGTTCCATGGCTTCTACGTGTGAAATGGTGTGACACGCCATCAGTGCATGATGCTCGTGGACCACCTATAATGGATATGTTTCTGATCGCACCGCGTGATGCTGAACGGTTGCGCTGGCTAGGTGTGCATCGCTCGAAGGTGGATGCTAGCAAGCCGGGCACCCTTCTGGGCACAGCGTTCAGCTTCGCTTGTGCGCCTGCGGAGAGGCCCTTGCTCGCCGCGCCTCGGGACAATATGGGGCCTCCGCTCTGTCGCAAAATGAGGCTGTTGGGGTCCGTCGGGAGAAGCTGGATGAGCGGAAGCTTGCGATTCGCGACTTGGCCACGAATCTGCTAGGGTCGGGGCCGCCAAGGTTCAGACGACCAGGCTCGCCAAGTGGCGCCCGCGTCTGCCCCGGCACCGTTGCCTAGAGGAGGTCGTTTCGAGGAGCAGCAGCGGCGGTGAGGGTAGGAGGCTCTTCCCAGCTGCACTACACTCTAGGCGATGCTTAAGAAAACTTGAGTTTTCGGCCAGAGTCTCGATTATTCTTAACGTTTCAATGTAAATCCTAAGCTTTTAATAGAAACGTTGGGTTTTTTTATTCAAATTCTGAGACTATGAATTTCTTAAGCCATGATTTCTTCAGCATTTCGCAGGGTGTATGTGGGATCCCAGTCACCCGCATACCGAATAAGCGAGTCAAGGATTTGAGAGCCCAGATGCGCCAGGCGCTGCACGGGACCCCGAAAGGTCGTTCGCGAACCTCTGGAGTGTTTCGATGGACCCGAACCCGCGGTGGACATCGAGCACCCAGCACATCTGGGTCCCTTGACATCCTGGATAGTGGCGTTGCAGCAGGGATGGGCGCTTTGTCAACTCATGAAAGTTAGTTTTGGAGCTTCCATTCTGTCGGATGACGCTGGCTGGCAGCAGGTCCGAGGACCTGCAGGTGCTGTCGTCTGTGCGCTCAGGGGGCTTAGGTGGACGATCAACGCTTGGGGCGCGTGGATGACATCCCCATCAACCCTAGGGAATACGGCACAAAATGTTTCATAATGATTCTGAGCACCTGCGCCCAGAGGCTCCTCGCTCAAAGATCTTCGAGGTCCTGAAGTCACCAGCAGTGGGCCCACCGGAGAACCCTGTCTCCAGCTCCTCATCAAGTACCTGAACGAGTTGCGGCCCCGTTGCCGAGGTGCGTCAGCAGGTGGGCTTGTTCCTGCCGCCGCAGAAGGTTTCCCGACTCAGCAGGTGCCGTGTGAAGACCGCCGTGTGGCGGACTAGAGATGCCAGCGGCGCTTGCTGGCCACAGCCACGAAGGCGCACCGCTTCTACAAGTGCGGCGGCACCGAGCTGATGAGGAGAGATTTGGATCTAGGTAAGTCATGGTGTTGGCGACTGTCGTGAAGGCAAATATCACGACATGGCCGCTACTCGCCGCCGGATGGCCAGTTCGAATGGGCGTGGCCCAAGCCTCGCCCAAACGCGGAACCCGAGCGGAGCTTCTATCCGAGACATGGGATCCTAGATTCGGGGTACGTTTGCTTGGAGGGGTCGGCGCCGCCTGATTGCCAGTCCACATGGGCGTGGCCAGAGCCCCACCCAAGAGCGGAACCCGAGCGGAGCTTCTTTCCGAGACATGGGATCCTAAATTCGGGGTACGTTTGTCTGGAGGGGTCGGCCCTGGCTCCCAAGTGGGGCTCGTTTTCCAGGGCTGGGTTCACTGTTGTTGGCATCGACGAGGGGGTTCAACATATCGGTTTCTTTGCACGGGCCCCGCCTTCACCCACTTCAGATGGCTGGATGTGGCGAGGCTTTTGCCTTGTATATGGCACGACGGTGTTTGGGGACTTTTCCCGACGACGATTGCGAGACACTGGTAAAGTGTGGCAAATAAATGTTCCAACGGTCCGAATCACGATTTGTCCGATGTCTGCTTCAGCGTAGTTTGGCACGACATCATCAGGGCAAATCAGATATTGGAGTGGAGACCACCACTGTTGTCAGAGCGAAGTCCCACTTAGGTCGCACGGCGGTTCTGAATCAGGATGTACCGTGCAAGGCGTGGTTCAGCAACCACGAGGCCGATCGTCTCGCCAAGCTCGGCGCCCAAGGCCTAGAAACATGGCGCTGAGAGGATCCGCTGGCGGGGATGATCAAGGCGGGGGTGTGGGATAAGTTGGCCATCCTGAATTTCCCAGGAGCGATTCGGACCCAGCGTCTAAAATTGGTTCCAAACCCCCAGAGTCAACATTTGTGTCGAAGTGGCACACGGTGCGTTTGTGCCGGGTGTGGGGGCAGAAGTAGATCTAAGATATCAATGTGCGTTGCGCGTGCCAGAAGATGGAGTGCGCATTCTTCCCCCGCCTGTGGGTAGGAGGAGGTCAAATTGTTTGGCGCTCTCGATGCGGTGCGATTGCAGCCGGCCGCCTGGTCCATCTCATGACGGAGTGTTTCGTCGGCCCCCGCAATGAGCATGCAGGCGACTCTCTGCTTCTTATAGAAGCAAGGGATTGATCCTGCTTGCAAGCGCTGCTTTGGCAAGAGTTTCCCTGTCGCCAAGCTCCTCGCTCTTCCGCCGCCGCCGCCAAACTCAAACTAACCACCGCCGCATGCAGCACTTATGGGGCCCACCCGTTTGCAGTTTTTTATTGTATCTCAGCGCCTGCTCGCTCCATCGTGTGTGTGTGTGTGTCTGCAGGCGGTCACTTGGTCTAATCGCTGAGCCTCGCTGAAGGGAGGGGGGAGTAGGAGGAGCCATGGCGAGGCGGAGGAGGAGGAACATAAAGTGGAGGGGAGGAGGAGGACGAGGAGAAGGAGGAGAATGAGGAGGAGGAAGAGGAGAGCGAGGGGGCGGCGAGCAGAATAATCATGTCGAAGTTTGAACCTAGAGGTTCGACTTTCGAGGATCGAATTTCGGGAAGGTCTTATGGCTTTGCCAGTGTGTCTTCATCCAGCCCAGGCACGCTCTGTCCAACCAGTCTCGCGCAACGCAGTTTTCAACTCAGCGCAGCACCTCCCAGTCCGGCCCATGTCAGCATAGCTCAGCCAGTCCAGTATATTTCAGTCTAACTCAGCCTTTCTCAGCCGATGCCGAGCCAGCTGAGTCGATGTAGATAGATCAGGGCCAGTTTTGCCAAGTCCAGTCAGCGCTACCCAACGGCCCAAGGGGAGGGACGCACAGTTGTGTCCAGGTCAGCCCCCTTCGGTTAAGGACAGTCCAGCTCAGTGTAGCCCGGCCTAGATCAGTCGAGCTCGTACCAGTTTTGCCCCGATGCGAACAGTTTGGCGCAGCACACATACCCCAAGCAACACCAATCTCCAGCTCGGCCAATCCCATCCCAGGCCCGCTTTGTCGGCCTCAGCCCATCTGGGCGTCGCTCAGCAGACCACGCTCCAGGTCAACCTGGCGCAGCCCAGCTCATTCCATCTCAGCTCAACTCAGTTCAGTTGGTTGTTGCTGTGCCCAGACCGGCGCAGCCCAGCCTGGATCAACTCAGCTCAATCCATATCAGTTTTGTTCTGCCGTGTTCGTTTTATCCCAACCCGTTGAAACCCATTGCAGCCCAGCCCAGCTCGGCCAATGCCAGTACGGTTAATCCCAGCTCAGTTCGGTACTCCCGCTCAACCTGGCTCCGTCTAGCTTGGCCCAGCCCAACCCAATTTGCCCGACCCTGTCCAGGCCAGGCCAGCTTAGACCAGCGCGGCCCAGCTTAGCCCAACAGCCCAGCCCACGTGCGTCAATACCCGTCGATGTCATTTAATCCAAGCAGTTTCAATCAGCGTAGCTCAGTCCAGCGCATGCGACATCAGCCCAGGTCCCTCCAGTTCGTCCCAGCTTTGCTCATCTCAGCTGATCCCGGCGCAATCCAGCATATTGCAGTCCAGTTTGATTCAGTACAGTCAGGTTTTGCCCAGTTCGGGCCTTGTTGGTCTAGCTACGCCCAGCTCAACGTAGTTCAGCGCAGCCCAGTTAAGTTCAGATGAGGCCAGGTGAATCCTGGCCATTAGAAGCCGTTCTTGAAGTAGTTATAGCGTCGCCTAGTTGCCTAATGGTGCGACTTGATATCGGTTTGCGCGAGCGGAATCTCCACTCAGACAATGACGCAGGTTATTCCACATTGATTAGGAAGTGCACGTAGCGCCCTCATGCACTGTTGTTGGGCTCAAGCGGCATCTGCCAAGATCATCGCACACTCTGCTAGCCCCCCCATATATCATCACCTTGCACATCCCATATTCAGAGCCTACCATGACACGCCTGTCGTTGTTAGTATTGTCTGCGTGGACGTCTGTTATGCAGTGCCGTGCCATCAAATTGGCGCAGTTGGATCAGCTGGAGGACCATGTGAGCGCTAACATGACGAGAAGTTCGTACACCCTCGTTGCTTGCTATGACTCAAGCTACACGCAAACGCGTGATACCAGGCCGCTCAGCGATGCGTACTGGTCTTGTGATATTTCCGAGTGCATGGACTGGGTCGCTGGCTACACGTATTTCGGCTTCGGATGCCCCATGAATAGTTGTTTCGAGTGCAGGCGTGGCAACGCGATCAACGACAACGACGCAGTCTTGGGCTGCGAGGAGTGCGGTGGGAAGGCGGAAGTCGTCCAGATGTGTTCAGGCTCACCCGTGCTTAAGTACAATGGTATCGACTGGTTGATGGGAGGCAGGCATCGGGATCCTGTATACACGGCGGCGAAGCCAGGTTCCCAGCGCGAGTTCTGCCCCTCAGTGACTGCCACCCGGCCGCTCTCAGTGACTGCCGCTCCGCAGTGACACGCCCACAGGCATACTTGCGGCCCCACACTCACAACCTCTTGCTGGGTGTCTGCTCATTCACAGTCAGCGGCTGGAGCCTGACGGCCAACAAAACAATGCTCGTCAGCATTCCCCTCCAGCATCCTCGATACCGATACTGCCGTTGTCACCGAGTGCCAGCGTTGCAGAGCGGCGTTCTCCCGACCTGGCAGCCGCAAGTGACACTTCCGCGGTTCGAGGCACATGGGTTGCGCAATCGCAGAACGGCACGTCCGAATGGCAAAGTCAATCTCAGTAATTCCGTCGATCCTCCTGTTCGTGTGACGCCTCCGCCCCTCACTCTCCCACCTCTCGCCTTCCACGCTAAATATTTGTCCTGGTCGGGTTCACTGGCACTCAGTCAGACCCGTTCGCACTGAGACTCGCTTGTAACAGAGTCGGGCTCACTGACAGAGTTACACATACCCAGACTCCTCACACTCAGCCGTGTTCACACTCAGACTCACTCATACTCTAATCGTCCATGCTCGGTTCACGGACACACGCACTCAGCTCCAATGGTATCCAGTCCCGCTGATACTCCGACAAGTTCATACACTCGAAACAGGCACGTCCATATCCGTTCATACTCATACACGCAGACCACTCACAGTCTGACCACTCACACTCACACTCACTCAAACTTCAGTGTCACACCAAGACTAGCCCACATGTTGTTCCTTATATTTAGACTCGCTCTTGATCAACGTGATGTATCAGGCGTGGCATTTTGACACCCCCGAGAGGAGTCGCCAGTGGTAATGCCGTTTCCCCGTTCACGCCAAGATTGGGAAGAAGTCTCGAGCGAGGCGCTCGTTTACAGTCTCCGAGTGTCATGATCACAGCGATGTTGCAGCCATAGTACGTGGGCACCCCAAGGGAGAGTCGCCAGGGGATATGACATTTCCCCGTTCGCGCCCTATTGTGGTGATGTATCGACCGAAACAAGGCTGGTTCTGGCACCCCACCGACTCCTTTCCGTTCAAAACCTCTAGTGCGTAAGTGTGTGCGTCATGGTTGCGTCTCTAAGGTCTACGTGTTCACCAGTAGTGTGCCACTAAGTTGTAAGTGCATGTCGGGTGTGTGTCTCTGAGGCTTAAGTGCGTGTCAGGATTGTGCTTCTAAGGTTCAAAGTGCGTGCCAGGATTGTGTCTGGGGGTAAAGTGATTGTCGGGAGCGTGTCTGTAAGATTTGAGTGCGTGTCGGGGGTGTGTCTCTAAGACTTAAGTGCCTGGCTTTAGCTTAAGCCGAAGGCCAGGGAAATGCATCAATGTTTTGAGTTTGCGCCAGCGTTGCGCATCTAGGGTTTAAATGCGTTTTGGGGTTTTGTCTCTGAGTCTTAAGGGTGCGTCAGGATTGTATGTGTAAGGTTTATATGCGTGTTCGGCTTGTGTCTCTGAGGCGTAAGTGCGTGTCGGGCGTGTGTCTCTTGGGCTTACGTGCGTGTCAGGATTGTGAATAAGGTTTCAATGCGCGTCAGTAGTCGCACGTAAAGCTTTAAGTGCGCGCTTGGCTTGTGTCTCTAAGACTTACGTGCGTGTCAGGCTTGCCTCTCTGAAGTTTTAGTGCGTGCCAGGATTGTGTCTCTAAGTTTTATGTGCGTGTCGGGATTGTGCATCTGAGGTTTAAGTGCTTGTCGGGAGAGTGTCTCTAAGGTTTAAGTGTGTGTGTGTGTGTGTGTCAATGTCGTGTCTCTAAGGTGCAAGTGCGTGTCAGGGTCGTGCCACTAAGTGTTAAGCGTGTGTCAATATTGTATCTCTGAAGTGTACTTTCGCATGAGGCTCCCATGTAAGGAGAAGGTGGAGGAGGAGAAGAGAGAGAGAGAGAGAGTAGGAGCCAGGAAGCCTTGTCCCGCAGAACCCGTAGAACCAACCGTAGAACCAACCGACTCGGCCTTGGCCTCCGCTCGCTCGGAGAAGCGTCCGATTTTCCGAAGAGCCAAGCATTTTTCCCAGAGAGCCATTTTTTCTCGTTTTGGGGGGCCCCTTGGGGGGCTTTTGGGAGGCCTGCGGCCAGCTTCTTCTGGGGGAGGGCTCCCAGGGCCTCTGCGGGTTCCCCATTTGGGGCCTCTCTCGGGCTTTTCTTGGGGCCGCCTTTTTTCCTGCCGTCCTGAGGGCCTCTTGGGTCGTCTTGGGTCTTGGGGCCCTCCTTGGCCATTTCCGGCTCGTTTGAGGGTATCTTGGACCTGCCTGGGCCAGTCTGGGGGTCCTCTTGGGCCGTCTTGAGCGTGCAGACGCTAGAGAGCCGAAGACGCGAAAATCACACAATGGGAAAACATGTGCTTGGTCTCGTGAGGCCTTTTGGGTGGTTCTCTTGGGGTTTTGTTTCGGCGTTTTCTGCCGTCTTGAGCCTAGCTATGGTGTTCTTGAGGCTACTCCGGCGTAGTGGAGTTCTTCTGGACCATCCGAGAAAGCATTTTGGGAGCTTGGCGGCCATGGAATCTAATTTTGCAGGCTCCGAATGCCCCGTGTGCGTTGGGGAAACCAGGGACACGCCATGTCGATCATTGGGCTTTATTCGTACACACTCCCTCCCCCACCTGACTATGGGCCAGCCAGAGACATGCCCACCCTCCACCCCCCACCATCCTTTTCAAAAAAACACTACAGGATGCCATTGGCCTCCACATCTGGAGCATGAACGGGCGCCCCGCGACCACTTTGCATTGTTTTTGACAGGGACGGCGGGGGTGCCGGCTGCGCGCAGGCCAACCATCTTTGTCAACAAACAATACAGAATGCATTTTGCCTCCGCATCTCGAGCGTGCGCGGGCGGCCCGCCATCACTTAGCATTGGTTTCCCCCCCCATCCCAAGTGGGGCTTTTGTTTTCTCTGGACACCCCGCGCAGGAACCAGAGCACACACTACATCATCACCCACTCATTCACTCACTCACTTATTCACTCACTCACTCACCCATCATCATCAACCATTCACTCATTCATCACGTCGCCATTGCTCACACACACACATATCACCACCAACATCAATAGCATCACCACCACATCAACAACCAACACTCGCATCATCACCATCACTCACTCACTCACTCATTCGCTCCCGCTCGCTCCTTAACTCATCAGAATCACAAGCATCATCGTCATCACTCACACACACTCACTAACATTCACATTCAGCCACATGCATACCATCTCGATCACCTCGAGTGTTATTCGATCACGCACGCACTCACCTACTTACTCATAATCTGCATCATCCTCCTCCTCATCATCATCCATTCATTCATTCATTCATTCATTCATTCATTCATTCATTCATAAATTCATTCATTGTTTCATTCATTCATTCAATCAGCCATTCATTCACTCACCAATTCATTCGCCAGCTTGAAAATAGGGAAAGGATCAGGCGGGAGGCTCGTGTGTGAGCGATTGCGAGAAAGTCTCGGGCGGGAGGCCTCTTCCGATGGGGCCCGCGCTTCACGTTTTTAATCCGAGCGGGTCATCCTCGAACCTGTGCTTGTCGTCACTTTTGGGCTCCTGAGGCCTGACTATGGAGGAAGTATCGGGCGGGAGGCTCGTCCTGTGAGCGAATTGCGAGGAAGTCTCAGGCTGGAGCCTTCTCCCTATTGGGCCCGCATTTCATGTTTTTTAATTCGAGCGGGCCATCGTCAAACTTGTATTTTCAATCACTTTTAGCTCCTGAGGCCTGATGAATATGAGGGAAGTATCAGGCGAGAGGCTCGTCTGCAAGTGAATTGCGAGGAAGTCTTAGGCGGGAACCCCCTCCCTGTGGGGCCCGCATTTCGCGGGTCATCTCGAACTTGTAATTGTCGTCCTTTTGGGTTCGTGGGGCCTGAATATGGGGGAAGTATCAGGCGGGAAGCTCGTCTGTGAGTGAACTGTGAGAAAGGTTCAGGCGGGAACCCCTTCCCTCTGGGGCCCGCAATTTTTTTTCCCACCGAGCGGGTCATTCTCAACCCTGTAACTGTCGTCGCTTTGGGGCTCCCGAGGCTTGGATATGGAGGAAGCATCAGGCGGGGAGGCTCGTCTGTGAGTGAAGTGTGAGGACGTCTCAGGCGGGGCCCCCCTCCCTATGCGCTCTTCAGAGGGCGATTCGCCCGACCCATCATGTGAGGAGGAGAAAAAAAACAGAAGGTGAGGTCGACGACGGCGGCCAGGCGCAGGGGGAAACTCTTGCGTCCGGGCCAGGGGTGGTAGCCCATCCTCGGTCGAAACGGGGGCAGGGGGAAACCATTGTGTACGGGCTGTCGGTTGTAGCCCATCGTCAGCCGAATCGGACGAGGAGGCCTGGGCGCGCTACGGGGCTCTAGCGGACGTGGAGGCCCGAGTCGCCGCGGCGCGCTTCTTCGCGCGGCACGAGTGGCCCTCGATTTGGGATACGCAGGAGGTACAGGAGGAAGTCTTTGCGGTGCGACAGGCGCGGGCGGAGGGCACGGGCGAGGAGGGCGACCCGCTGGACCCCCCCACGCTGCCCCGACAGGGAGAAACCAAGGGCGACGGCGCGCCAGTACGTGTCCATGATAGCCATGCAGGTTGCGCCAAGCCTCGAGGGGATCGCCCTGGCGCGCGAGGGGAAGAAACCCTGGCAGTGCCAGAGCGACGCGACCGTGCAGAGCGCGCACCTCAAGGCGACCGCTGGTGGAGGCGCCCGTGAAGACGAGGACGCCGAGCCGGGCGAGGGCGCGGAGCACCCAGGCGCGCATCCAACTGGCGGTCCAAACGCACTTGCACTTCCAGCCCGACCCAACGCGGAGCATCGACGGGGAGCAGGACATGGCGGACGTGCTGAACTTCGCGCACCGCAAGCGCCTTACGAAGTTGGCCAAGGAGCTCCTTGCGCTCCCGTGCATGTCCGAGGCGGTCCGCGAGGACGTGGGCGCGCCCGCGCCAGTTGACGCCGCGACCGCTCCTGCGCCCGCGGCCTGGCACTGATGCCTGGTGATTGCGGCGCGCGGAAAGAGACACTCTTGGGCGAGGCTGCACGACGACCTTATG